TGTTGGGGTGTTTGCTGTGCAAGACCGACTCTATTCTGCTGAATGTGTTTGATACGGTATTGTGAAGGCGTTCTGATTAACTGTAACCGTCAGGTGCAGACAGTCCAGGCGTCTGTGTGTGATAATAAATCACTCTTTTTGTTTTCTCTACCAAGCCTCTACCACATACGCCAACCAGCGTACTACAGCTGTGGTACCGCCCACCAATGTCTACTTTTATTTGCTACCATAATCCAATTCTGCCCAGAGTGTGTAGCAACACTTCGATTTTTCCGGGGTGGCCAGCCGCGCTCAACCCTGTTGTCGTGACCTGCAACTGTTGACGGATTTTTTCCACGAGCAATATGAAGTCAAATCGTCTGAACGATGAAACATTTTTGCACGTGTTGCGAAAGCCAAACTCCAGTGTTCCAGTCGGTTCTCCGGCATCATCAGATCAGCGGGTCATCGTTCATGCCGGCGCATAAATTTACGTGCCGCACGCCCTACTTTTCATAAGAACCGCCTTTTGCCCTCTCGTGTTTCCTACAGGCCTCTCAACAAACGTCCATAACCGACCCAGGGGGGGAAAGGTTGGCGGGCAGCAGACTTTGCGGAGGGTGGTGCTCCCTCAACCCTATTATAGGGCAGCTGCACATCCTTCCATGCCTTTTTCTTGAGTGTTGAGGTTGCATTGTTGGGGGGGTGTATGCGTGGGTATTGGGGGCTCGGGTGCTGTTCACAGGTGGACACGCGTGCCACATCTCCCGCATCCGGTTGAAACAAAACGGTTGTCTCTCCTTTCTTCGTAGGAGATAGGACCACAGGTTCACGGCACCACGCAACGGTAGAGCAACATAGGCCTTCCGACACGCTACAATCCTTTCGGATTTGTCATGTATATGATGCTGACCCTTATCGCCGCTGCGGTTATGGTTGTTGAGCTCCTCTACCTTTCGACAGGGCGGGCTCAAAAATGGGAGATAGCACCCGTGAAACATGAGCAGCAAGACTTGGGGAAATCGCAGGAAACACCCAGTTTGTGACACCGTACCCTGCTCCCGGTGCTGAGAGCAGCAGGCTGGGTGATCAAGGGTAATTACATGTGTGCTGTCCTTTGAGTCATGTGCGGCTTTTCGCGCTTGCACCGCTGATCTACGGTGAGCAAAACCAAGTCGACATGTTGTAAGTCTAGTAAAGACTGTATTCATCGAAAGCAAACGATGGCCCCATGATACGAACAAGCGGAAAAGCGGCCATGATATTTTAGACCGCTGTCTTTTATGCTTTGTCCATTATCATATTGTTCCGATCCTGAAGATCCATGGGTTTGTGCTCTCTGCTGTGTCGTCTATCTTTTGAACACATCCTGAATTAAACTGCATTCCTGCAACACATGGAAAACCCGCTGTTTCACTTCCTTTTCTCATCCGGATTATATATCGAGGGTACAGTGCCATCCTAGCTTGCCTGCTGCGTGCAAGCCACCACCGTACTTGTGTGTCCGAGCGTGGAGACAGGTACTCTGTCGTTCGTTCCACGTGGATGGCAACCGGTCGGTGAAGAACGTGCTTAGCACCAGCTGGCATCACTGTTCACGTTTCAGTGTACAGGCTTATGTAGACTCAAAATATGCCCAGTATTCAGCAGTTTTTTTCTCCCCATGTACTGTAAAGACCTCAACACATCCCGTGTTCTTATCTCAAACGGGTGGTCCTTCTCTGATGGTATGAAAATTTTCGAACACGCAGTCAATCGCGACCGCACAGTACTGCGGAACGTGCCCTCTGCTTGCACCTCTGTCCAAAAGACGGCAATGACCGCCGAGAGCTGCTGCGGGTTTATTCTTTGCGAAGGTTGTTGGCCACACCCTTTCTCTTTTGCCTAACCTCTGTTGGAGCACACCGTTGTCTGCTACAACGCACCTGTACGGCTCCGATTCGGTGGGTAGGGGTCGCGCTAATCAGAAACAATTTATTCGCGCGAAACGCGAAACCAAGATGAGGAGGCGTCCAGCCGACGGAAGCAAGAAACCGAAGTGGCAGCACTCCTCGAGATGGTGCTGGTCGTCCGCACGGTTGTTTCTCAGACTCGCCTTCATGAATACAGGATGCCGTTATACCAGCACTTCCGCCCGAATGACCGGTGGACGGAGCTAACAAACTACGGCCGAGGAGGTGTTGCAATCCGCAGCAACAACATGCGCGAAAAAATGACCGGTGTCTACTTCTCCGCTATCGAACACTGAAAATGTTACTAGATAGGGCAGTGATACGTGGATTGAACACAAATCGATTTGACAACTTTTCAATCCAAGCATGCTAACTGCCAGTAAATTAATTTCGAAATTTTGATGTAATCAACAACGAACAACTTGGAGGGGGTCGGGAAGAAAATGATCCTGCCTTCTATGCCCACTCGTTCATGGAAGATTGCAGACATGTGGCAATGACCATAAAAAAATCATCTTCTTGAAGTTGGTGTTGCTTAGCAACCTGAGCGTCCGGCCGGGTACTACGTCCAGGCAACTTGAGAAAATACCCGAGGATGTGTGACAAAACAGATTCTACACATCAACCAACGGTATCCAACATGACGTCAAACTTTTGTTGATCAAAATATGTTACTGTGTGACTTCGTTCAGCCAAGATTGTCGAAATATTACTATGCCTCATCGCAAAACATTGCAAATGAAAGGTCCCACACCCTTCTTGAAACAACGCGCCGACGAACACAGATAGGAGCTAGGCATGCAACAAGTGATTCACGCACATATCTTGTACCACGCCGTTTCTGTGCGTAGATTCGCTGACTTTTTCTGCGTCGTTCCCGGAAAATTAACGAACCCTCAACAAGCTACAAGTAGAGACCATTGGGTTCGACCAGTTGGTCTCGTGCCACAAGAAGTACACTACATCACTACAACATCCTCTACGTTTCTCGAATTCTGCGGCCAACTCCACGCAACAAATTCCGGAAATGAGCCCGCCATGTCTAACCATGCTGCACCCAAATTGACTCAATTTCAGGATTGGCGGGCCAGCCTGTTCTAGACTATAACTTGTCCAGTTTCGACATAGTCGGCCACCAAGTGACAGATGAGGGGCTGTGGGCACCGGGTAACATGGCCGAACGTTCGGCGCACCTCCACTATCTATCTCGATAGCATCCCAACGCGTTTGACGAAGCAATCTGAGATCCGGGTGTCGTTGTTCATACTCTCTTCACGGTCATGGTGGCGATCGCTCGCACAATTGCTAGCACACTGGCACACACGAGAAACGATGTTTAGGGTTTTACGCACTCTCTGGTTGGCGGGCTTCGGCATGCTTTTTGAGGACAAATCATCTTCAATAATGGGGACGGTTCAGGTTGGATAAAGTAAAAGAAGAACATCGGATGTCGGCGCGCTGGTGGACTACAGAGGTGAAACAACCGGCAGTGCGCCGGAGGACCGACGCCTTGGTTTCGAAGGCTGAGAGACTCCGCATGGCTACAAGGCACCACCTCGTCAGTTGAGACCTGCAGCGAGTTCAGCTCTGTCTTCGCAAACACAGTGTGGCCACAAAATCTATGCACAATATCGCCAGAGTTAAGCGAACAGAATCCCGAAATATTGCGGCTGCAAGAATACTGGAATCCCCCTGCCGTGGTTTAGACTTTGAAGCTACGGGTGGCATTACAACAGAGACAGATCCGGATGCTGTGGAAGGGTCGTATGCTTTCTGTTTCCTTGGGTCGAACACAGCAGAGCAGGTGAATGTCCTACCGCCGGAGCTGTAACTACAACGGGCACGGAGGCGCACGAGTTTCCCTTGGAAATTAAGGAGATTACAACGCTGCTCCAATGCCAAACTACCCTACTATTTTTTTGGTACCCTGCACTCCGTACGGCCTTTCGTTCGAGAGATGGTACTACAAGCAGTACTGATGTAAGAACCTCCTTTCCGTTTCGCACTGACATTGGAGATATCGCTCTCGCCAGTTACATAGACAGTGGAGTAGTGCGTAGTTGGCGCAGCGAGGTCCGTGTTTCATGAGCACCCTTCGTATCATGCACTGGTACTCCTATGGGTGCGGCCGCACAACCATGATCTTACCTGGCCCGGCAATTGAAATAAAAAATAGCACGAAGCGCCAAAAAAAGAAAGATGCGTTTCGACGAGCGAAGCGCGCAATATATCCCCATGTTCTCGCCTCATTTTCGACGATTTGGGGGGCAATTTCAACGATTTGACCGCCACAGTTTGCGGAGTTTTTGTGCAAAGCTATCGTTCGGTTCATCTCAAGTGGTTTTAGGTACAATTTCGAGTACCCCATATAAAAAACATGTTGTCTTTAGTGCCAGTTCTCTTTCCGCGGATGCACATGATGCATGGCATGCAATACATACGTGGGAAGGAATCATTTGCGTGTTGCATCATCAACCAACGCCCCACTAGTAGAATGGCCTTCGAAGTATCGTTTCATTCAAGTTAACATCTACAGTAGTTGCGACTGTTCGTGCTCCACTATCTAACCCCTTTGCAGCCTCACGGGTGAGCGGCGTCCCCGGGTCACTCGCACTCCCCGCCAAACTTCCTTACGACCGGGCGCGGCGTAATTTAACGCCCCGAACCGAAATGTTGGCGGGTTCGAAGGTGCACCCCGTCTTCTCCTTCCGCGGTCCCCCTTATTTGTGTGTGAACGTAATGCGTCACATGCATTGCGGCGGTCGAAAAAGAGCCTCACAGGCAGCAGGCAGCAGGACAGCAGCTGAGGTGTGTGCGGTCAACAACTAAATAAGTACAAGACAAGGCCGTATCCCCCGGCCAAGCGCGCTTGGTCAGTTTCTACTCCAAGGTCTTCTCTCTGAACGTGTAGCTCATCAATCCGTTGCGGTTGTTTTTAGAGATTTCGCGACTTGGAGGACGGCAGAAACCCACAACTCGGGAGAAGCATCATCAGCAGTGAGTCGGCCATGCTTATCCCGGAGCAGGGAACCCCGGAGAAGGTTCTTCTGGCCGGCGTGGAGGCCCTCACGTTCACGCGTGGGCGCCTGACAACGAGGTGGGCAATTGGGTGTGTGATGGGGTTTCGGATGCATGCCTGGCGACTGCTGTTTTGATGCCGCACGCAAGGTACAGCACCAGAGAAGGCTTGAACGTCTCGGTGTCTCGGTACGCTCTGTGTCGCGCTGCGGTCCGCGAGAGAAACGCAGATTTTACCTAGGCATAGGTCCGTCTTCCTGCATTTCTGCTGCCGTAATTGTGAAAGAGCAGTCGCATGGGTTGAGGTTGGGGATCTGAGTGTTTCTGTCCCGTTGTCGGCGAAATGACTGCCCGATCTGCCACCGCGGTTGAAGTACTTGTACATTGACGCACACATCCCTCCACGCGACCGCGCGACCAATGTCATACAGGTTGGGGGGCAATCTAGTAGCCTACTCGACACTACGACTTCAAGGCTTTTCTCCCTGTTCCATGTGCCGATGTGTCTTTTTCGAGGCTATGACCAATTGCTAACTAAGCACGACTGCTTTTCTGCCTTTGTGCGGAACAACGCTGGTTGCGGCATGCATGGAGCCGTCGCTCAACTTTTTTTTTCCTCTCATGCCTACGAAGAAAGGGTAAGCGTTGTTTCTCTACAATTGTCAGACTGCTAGACTGCCTTTGATTCATGTTCTCGATGATTTGCCGTGGCTCACGTTCTGGCATTAGTTTCCACTCGTCTGTCGAAAAAAACTACTCTTCTACCGAAAAATATAACGCGATTCGAGATTGCGTGGAGGACACAAAACTATACCCTCACCAGGGTACCCGGTTCTCTGCATCCCCACATTTTCCCCAAAGACAATGATAAACTCAGCCAACCCGAAACTACGAGTGCCTACACGGTGGGGCTACCTGACCCCCGCGTCGTTTGACAGGCTGAGAAGCTAAGATAGCCTACACTATCGGGCTGCCTGACCCCCGCGCCATTCAACAGGCTGAGAAACTATCTCCTAATTTCTCTCGTCTCTTTTCATCTTTTCGAGGACCTCTGAGACCGCTTGCGCACCCTCTCCCGCTTCCCTGATAAAACCGTGATTGCTCTGGACATCCACCGACCAGCACGCTGGATCTTCAACTCTGATGCTCCCTACGCTGCTAACTGGGTTGCTCCTCCGATTCGTCCCGAATGTAGCACGAATTGCTCAGGGTTCCTACCCGTGCTAGCTACCATCATTCGCAGGCATCTGCCTCTGTACACGAGTAACACACTCTCCACCCAGACAACGAAAGTCTCGTCATCAGCGGCGAGTTTTCGGGAAGTCACGGGTTGGCATCGAGGAGCTCCACCAGTGCCTCGAACGCCCCGATCGGCATCCCCCCGTCTCCACTCTACTTTCTCCCCGCGCACCCGCGGGATCGTACACCCTCTACGGGTGTGGTCCGCTTTGGACGCTCGAAAAAGAATCTGGACATAGTCCGCCCTCGCTCTGTCCTCGACGCTGACCTGGACATATCCGCTAAGGTAAGGCAGTCACGCGTCACGCAAAACTCTGGGTGTACCAGTCCGTTCGCGTACGAGAGTAGCTCTGACGCTCGACATAGCAAGAATAATGATAGCGTCAGACCTAGCCACATCACAAGTTCTCCCCCGCTGAAACTCGTGCGCGGTAACCGTGAGCCAAGATCAACCACGCAAGTGGTAACCCGACGTGCGCCCTTTTTTTCGGTGTACCTCGAATCCTGTCCATCCCTTCTCCTCCTGCCGCGAGCATGCAGTGGGACGTTTGCGGCTCCCAACCTAGGTAAAGCTTGTGGTAGAACATAGTCGCGGCGAAATGTGTTAGCCTCCAACGGTGGACTGCTGTTGATTGTTGGAAGAAAATAGTCGGCAGGCCATGACTTCTAGCAACAGATCGAGCGCGTCTGACTCGTCCCGAGCCCGAACTGTCAGAAGCTTCTTCCGTTCCCGCCGCGCCCTGCGTTTGCGCCGCCTCCTCCCCCCCTGCCGCCGCCTTCTGCTGCTGGGGCGGGGGTTGCTGTGGGGGCTGCTGCGGGTGCTGGGGCTGCTGCTGCTGCTGCTGCTGGTCTGGTTGGGGGCGGTGACGGCCGTGGCGGCACCATACGAGTAGGTACAGTACTGCCGTTTACATACGCGTGGGAACAATTCGTGCGCCAGCATGGGTCACCATACCAGGTCGCTCTGCACGCCCATACGGGAGCCGCTCCCACCGCCACAATCTTGCTCTTCGTCTCCGGCGCCGACCCCGCGGCTTTCCGCCTGAGGCTGCAGCTCGCGGTCGTGGAGGGTTTCCAGCTGCTGGCCCGCTCGGCGAGGCTGGATATGTCGTCGCGCTCGATAAGCTTCTTCAGGTGCCGGAACTTGGAGATCTGCATGACGCCCCCCGTCGTGCCTGGCGGTGACGCACCGTCCGGGTATGTGCCTTGGACCTCGCCCACGTGCCGCGGTATTGTATGAAACCCTTTGTTCATGCCGTGGTTGATGGCCCCCACGAGCAGATTGAAGAACTTGCCCCAGGTAGAGTGTGAAGACCCGGTAGAGATCCTTTACATCTTGTGGGACGGCGTCATAATTTTTACACCTGGCGCCGCTGCCCGATCAGCAAGGATGATCGCAATCTGCTCGTGGGCGCCATCAACACCGTATGAACAAAGGGTTTGACACACTAGCGCGGCAAGCGGGCGAGGTCCAAGGCGCATACCCGGACGGTGCGCCACCGCCAGGCACGACGGGGGGGCGTCATGTAGATCTCCTAAGCTCCGGCGCCTGCAGAAGCTTATCGAGCGCGACGACATATCGAGCCTCGCCGAGCGGGCCAGAAGCTGGAAACCCTCCACGACCGCGAGCTGCAGCTTCAGGCGGAAAGCCGCGGGGGGCGCAGGCAAAAATGTCGGCGCCGAAGACGAGGAGCACGATTATGGCGGTCGGCGCAGCTCCCGTATGGGCGTGCAGAGCGACCTGGGATGGTGATTGATGCCGGCGCACGAATCGTTCCTCCGCCCATGTCAACGGCGGTACTTACCCGTACGGTGCCACCACGGCCACCACGGCACCACCGCCCTCAACCAGACCCGGCAGCAGCAGCAACCCTAACAGTCGTTACTGATCGTGTTTCCTGTGTGTCTGCAGTGGTCCTCGCGTAACACACAGCAGATGCGCCCCCAATGTGCAACAGGCTCTACAACACAGATTATGTGCTATTTTGTCATCTTGGACTAAGCATATTGGGCCGCTGCCGCACATGTAGAAGATGGCTGAACAGTCGTACATATTCCAGTGCACAAATTGTTCGAGAACGAGTACATGGACACGGTTTTCTTGGAACACGGCATCGATTAGCAACGAGGGTCGACACGGATGGCCACCAGCGAACGTGGCTGGTTTGCACGTTTCGCGCAACACAAAATGACGTTCTACGGTTAAGCACAAGAGTTAGTGCTACCGTGCCGGCGTTGCGGGAGAACAGCAAATGCATCAGCAGCCTGGACCACTATGCATGTGGAAGGGATTCGTTTTGCTGTGGGCCTGTTGGCCAGGAACTTCCAGGCAGCCAGCGACATGTCTGGAATGAGCACCGAGTGTCCCAACCAAAGAAAGGCAATTAACACCACCGGCTCGCAATATCGGCCGCTGTCCTCGACCTCTGCCGCTCTGGTATATCGGAGGACTCGGAGTCCCTCACAGGCTATTGTTACTGTAAGGAAGGACGCCCTGAGCGTTCCCCGCAAAGGGTATGTGGCGATTTACTTTCATTCGCTGTCGGCACAGCGGTTACCGCTGTAAAAAAATCGAGGAAAACATTTTTTGGCCATATTGAGATACCTTTTGTCGATGTTCATATTGCGTCCCCAAAGCAAAAAACTAGAAAATATGCACCCGATATTGCTAGGAACGTCGTCAGCAGCAAGTCGTGATAAAAACGGATTGACTTGAGGAACTTTTTGTACCAAGTTCATCCTTAATCGACCTTCAAGTTGTGCTTTTCTTTTCTTCTCTTTTTTCAGCCGGCGGACCGGACCAATCGCTCAGCTGATCTGCGATGGCGGCGGCGGGAGCGCGGGGTGCCCGAAGGACCCCCGATGGCAGTTCCAGACCGCCATGTGCAAAAATCAAGGGGTAAGCAAGAACAACATGTATGAATTAACCGAGGCATCAGCATACTTGTTTTGCAGCGAGACTTTGCCGCAGGTCGGCCTCCTGGTAGCCCGGGGAGGGCGAGGCGCTGTGGAGCTCGCTGCAGTCGCCTTTGTGCATCGCGTTTCGCTAGTCGCCAGAGAAACAAGATTGCGTTCCTTAGTTAATATTGGCTGCTGTGTACACGGAGAAGAAGCGCAAGGCTGGTGCCATAAGATGTTAGAACTGCGCGTTTGACGATTGACGCGACTTCATGTGTGCAAGCATCTTGGGGATATCTGTCAGCGCACTGGGCTGCTTTCCGTCGCAAACGAGGTCACATGTAGTTACACGCCTTTTCAGAATGTCTATTTTTGTCAGGACTTTAATCTTTGACCAACATTACCCGTTTCAGAATGATGTGCCGGCAGCTTTCCGGTACGACGACGTTCGTGGCAGCGCCTCATGCAAACCAGTGTTGACAGGAGGCCGCCTCTTCTGCAGCAACGCTTCACGCGTACGCCCCCGTTCAAACCACCCGCCGAGCACCCGCGTTCAGCATCGACCAACGTTCGTTATTGACTACAGACAGCGGCCGCGCTCAGGAGCCTGTAGTTTAGGCCCAGGCTGGGCTTCTCAGTTCCTCTTGTTGTTGTTGTTGTTGTTGTTGCCTTCACATTAAAAACCATCCCGGTCTCTCTATCCAGTACCTCCTTCTGTCTCAATCTCTCCGTACTAATCCAGCACTTGACTCGGTCAATTTCCGTGGTCACAGGCTAACGTACCTAGAAAAGGTATACCAAAATAAAATGNTAACAAAATAAATGAAATAAACCAAAGACATACGAGGACATAAACAAACTCGCACAGAGACAGGGATATCCGTTGAGACAGTCTGAACGCGACAGCAAACGGCGGAGAGGGCAACAGAAAAACTAGTCGCTGAAATTCAACCGCAACATGTCACGTCACGCGGTCGGTCTCTTCTCGCTTGCTTTCTTCCCGCGCCGTTTCCTCCCGCCCCCCTCCCGCCCCGTTGATTGGTGCCGTATCTAGACTATTTTTGGGCCCGCTGTCTCCTCGTTTGATGGCTCGTTGTCGGCTGGCCTTCTCCTCGCCCTTGTGCCAAGAGGCCAAAAACCTCGCAGCTCCCTGTAGCACCCCCGCGTGCCACGGTACCCCCCCCTCCACCTTCGCCGCCTCACTCCAGACTAACTTCGGGACTCCGAAGACGCTCGGCTTGTCGGTCGTGGAGCCGTACCTGGCTTCGAACATCTTCATGTCGTCCTTCAGGCATGTCAGCCAGTTCTGCTCCGGGTTTCCCTGGCCCGGGTCCTCCCCTCCCACCAACTCGCCGAACATCAGCCGTTTCGGAAGCCGCCCGTCCGGCTGTCTTGCCACGGCCCCCGCAAAGAGCAGGCGCCGTTGACGGACAGTGGCCTCCACGCTCTGGCAGCCGACCCTCTTCAGCGCCTGGGCGTATGACAGCTGCCGGTAGGTGCCTCGTTTGCGCCGGTAGCCGATAACTCGCAGAAGCAGACGGTGGTGTGTCGTCTGCAGCAGCCGGTAGTGGTCGCGGCGTGGGGACCATGTCATGCAGCCGTATAGCAGTGCCGCCACTGCCTCCGCCTGGAGTAGGCGGGCCTTGAGGCGAAACGGTGCTCCCGGTCGGTCGAAGAGCTCCGTGGCGTATCGCCTAATGCACGCCCACGCTGCTTTGCTCCTGTGGTTGATCTCTCGGGTGAGGTCTCCCTGCTCGTTGATGAGGCCGCCCAGGTATCGGAACTCGGTCGTCTCTGCGTACCTTTGCCCCGCTGCTTCGATGGTCAGCGGCGGCGGTGGCGTCGGCGGCGGTCGCTGTTTCTCCTTCACCCGCATCACCAATGTCTCCGTCTTCCTCTCCGACACCGTCAGCCCGAACTCCCGGAACACCTCCACGATAATGGTCATCATCCTCGCCAGGCCGTCGGCGGACTTCGACACAATGCCGGCATCGTCGGCATATAGCATCCCCCACACCGCCCTCCGAACTCGGTCCAGCAATGTCCTCCCCCCCCCTTCCTCCTCCTTCAGGTAAACTAGGTCCCGCATGATATCCTCATCCTTGTTGAACCGTGTGACAATGATTTCGAGAGGCGCGGCGAAGAAGACGTTGAACAGCAGTGGGGACATTGAGCACCCTTGTCGCAGTCCCTGCGTGACCGGGAACCAGTCCGATAGCTCCCCATCGTCCATGCGGACGCAGGCCCGCATTCCGACGTGGAACTTGCGGATGACGGCGATCATCTCCGCGGGGATCCCGGCCCGGGCCAGCACCTTCCACAGCAGCTCCCGGTCCACCGAGTCGTAGGCCTTCTGCAGATCGAT